CCTAGCACCCCGGTCATACAAATACTCGTTAACGGCTTTTTCTTGTTGGAGCAGGCGGTCGAACATTAGGAGTGTTGAATTCCAACATGTCGGGCTGTCGCAAATCAAGCACCTCACTGGCATGTTTTTTCTCCGCTGGATATCTGAAAAGTGCGCCATGGCCGTGTAGGAATGCCTGAAATGGCCAAACACCTTCCTGGCCTGCTTCAGGACGTCCTGTAAGCCTGGGTACTTCTGCACAAAGCGTTGTACGATCAGATTACACACATGTGCCATGCACGGCACATGTGTCAACTTGCCCAAATGCAATGCCGCCAACAAATTTCTTCCGTTGTCACAAACCACTTTGCCGATCTCCAGTTGGTGCGGAGTCAGCCACTGATCCACCTGTGCATTCAGGGCAGACAGGAGTGCTGGTCTGGTGTGACTCTCTGCTTTCAGGCAAGTCAACCCCAAGACGGCATGACACTGCCGTATCCGGGATGTGGAATAGTACATGGGGAGCTGGGGGGGTGCCGTTGATGTGGAGCAAGATGCAGCAGCAGAAGAGGACTAAGATGCAGCAGCAGAAGAGGCTATTATATTACAGTCCAAAGGAGGTTATGGAAGAGGATGGAGTAGGAGGAGTAGAGGAGGTGGCAGCAGGTCTGCCTGCAAGTCATGGCGGTGTCACCAACTCCTCTGCAGAGCCACGCATTCCATGCTTGGCAGCCGTCAGCAGGTTTACCCAATGCGCAGTGTAGGTGATATACCTGCCCTGACCATGCTTTGCAGACCAGGTATCATTTTGGACCCTTGCCCCAACACTGTGTGCCAGACATGCCATTACTTCCTTTTGCACAATCAAGTACAGGTTGGGGATTGCCTTTTGTGCAAAGGAATTTCGGCCGGGTACCTTCCACTGCGTTGTCCCAATAGCTACAAATTTTTTGAACGTCTCAGACTCCACTAGCTTGTATGGTAAAAGCTGGCGGGCTAAGAGTTCAGTCAAGCCAGCTGTCAGACGCCGGGCAAGGGGGTGACTTTGTGACATTGGCTTCTTACGCTCAAACATGTCCTTGACAGACACCTGACTGTGGACAGATGAGCAGGAACTGCTCAAGGCGAGAGACGGAGGGGCGGATGGTTGAGAGGGGGCAAGGAGGACAGCAGTGGTTAACGTGGCTGAAGATGCTGGACCAGGAGGAGGATGGCGGCTTTGAGTTTGTGTGCTGCTTGTACTCATGTGTTGATCCCATAGGCGTTTGTGATGTGCGATCATGTGCCTTCGCAAAGCAGTTGTACCTAGGTGGGTGTTGGACTTCCCACGACTCAGTTTCTTTTGGCACAGGTTGCAAATGGCATCGCTGTTGTCAGAGGCAGACACACAAAAAAAATGCCACACTGCTGAGCTCTGCAATGACGGCATTCTGGTGGTGGCAACAGCATGTGTTGATTGGCGTGCTGTCTGGCTGACCCCGGGTGCCGATGCATGCTGTCTGACTGTGCCACTAGCTCCTTGCGACGACCTCCCCCTGCTTCCAACTCGTCTCCTCCTCCTCCTCTCTGTCTCCCCATCTGAACTTTCCCCCTGTTCTTCTTCTCTTCTAGCGGGCACCCACGTGACATCCACGGACGCATCGTCATCATCAACCGCTTCACTTGTATCTGACAACTCAGCAAAGGAAGCAGCAGCGGGTACAACATCATCATCATCACACCATACGTCCATGTGTGTAATGCTGCCTGACTGAGACATATCCCTGTTATCTACATCCTCTGGCAATAATGGTTGTGCATCACTCATTTCTTCCAACTGATGTGTAAATAACTCCTCTGACATACCAAGTGAAGCTGCTGTGGTGCTAGTGTTGGTGGTGGCGGCAGGCAGGTGAGTGGTAACTTGAGAGGTTAAAAGCTAAGCTGGAGGAGGATGGTGCGTCAAGGTTCCGAGCGGAAGCTGTAGAAGATTGGGTGTCCTGTGTTAGCCAGTCAACTATGTCCTCAGAACTTTTCGAGTTCAGGGTATGTGGCCTCTGAACACTGGGCATTATTCTAGGGCCAAAGGGAATCACAGCACCACGACCACGACGGCCCCTGCGGGGTGGCCTGCCTCTGCCTGTCATTTTTTTTTTCGATTAGTGGTACTATGTGTGCAAGATACTGTGACAACAGATATGAGTGGCACTGTGCAGTGGCAGAAGTTGGCAGAGTAGACGCTGTAGGCCTGACACACACGCTTGCAGACAACTAACTGCTATTCAATCTATTACAGTCAAAATTGTATTTTTTTTTTTTTAACTGTACACTACTGTTACACCAGATATGAGTTGCACTGGTGTGACACTGTGCCCTGGCAGGCCCTGAAACGCACACTCGTGAAGGAAACTGACTGCTATTATATTACAGTCCAAAAAGTTGTTGTTTTTTAAATGCAAGCTATTGTGACATCAGTGAGTGAGTGGTGGCACTGGGCAAGTGGGCACAGTATATGCTGTGAGCCTGACACACAGGTTGGCAGGCAGGCAACTGCAATTACATTACACAGAAAAAAAAAGCAGACTGATGTTTTAGCCCTAAAAAGGGCTTTTTGGGGTGCTTTCCTTACAGCAGAGATCAGATGAGTCCTTCAGGACTGTAGTGGACAGTGAATAAACTAGCCTAGCTATCAATTTCCCTATCAAATCAGCAGCAGCTACACTGTCCCTCCTCTCACTAAGAATGCAGGTTCACAATGAATGTAAAATGGATGCTGTCCAGGAGGTGGGAGGGTCTGGGAGGGAGGGTCTGCTGCTGATTGGCTGGAATGTGTCTGCTGACTGTGAGGTACAGGGTCAAACTTTACTCAATGATGACGAATAGGGGGTGGACCGAACAGCGCATATGTTCGCCATCTGTGGCGAACGCGAACAAGCGATGTTCGCCAGGAACTATTCGCCAACGAACCGTTCGGGACATCACTATTAAAAATCCATAAGGCAATAATTCCAGCAGGCAAGACAATCCAATAATATCCCAACATTAATCCCAATGACTGGACGACACACAGCATCAGGAGCAGAACTGAACTTTTAATCACTCAACCTTCTTTTAAAGTTTTCCCCCATGCAATGGAGGGATTTACAGTAATTGCACAATACACCAATCATACATGAGTTGCCATCCACACATCCCCACCCCTTAGTATGACACATAATCCCATTATGCAGGACACAGTTCCCCTGGTATTCTGGATGTACCCCTAAATATAGGGGTACCCCTTTAAATATTACATCCTCTGGTAGCCCAGATCAGGGTGAGACACATATCCAAAAATCACCCAGATCGGACCAGGGGTTCAGGAAATTCCTGGAGGTAATAAAAAGACAGACCACGCTGGAGTTAGCCAAAAAGGGTTCCATACATTTTGGCCCTGCGGTCAGTCACAGAAAAAGGGAATGAAACATACGAATGGCTTGGGTTATGAAGACTGGGGAGACTGGGGATTCGCGGGGAGCCGTTCGGTAGTTCTTACACAAATTGGCGGCAGTGTGGAGGTCTCAGCGGTGTTTGCCTAACCGAGTGTCCAATTTGAGTTCCAGACACTGGACGGCATAATACCACTGTTCTGGAGTTTAAGATGGCCGCCGCCACGTGTTCATCTCCCAAATGGCGGCCACCCAGAGGACAAAGCACACACTGCACGAATTGCCAATTACCCGTTTGCAACATTGTTGCGAATGGTAATTGGAGGCACACTTATTCCTGGGGTGGTCTAGTTTCACTCTCATAATAACTGGAGTGATTTTACCGAACAATCAGTTATTATATGTATATATGTTAATTTATGATTATTTATTTCTAACAATTTGGTTACAGAAAGAAGATTTTAATAAATAAAGTTATGGATGTATTATGCAGTAATTTATTTATGTTATAATAAATGCTGTGGCCTGTTCATCCATACTAAGTTGTCTGTCGTTATTGGGGGGGGGTTTATTGGGGTTATTTATGTTTATGTGGCATCGTAATTCCCCGCTACGTACATACAAGTCCTTTATGACCGACCGCAAGCACATTTTCCTGCCCAAAACAGTTCCATAGATTTGGGCTGTGCGATCGGTCTATGCATTTTTACTTAGTATAGCAGTGAGTTCAAACTGCCGAACGGGACTTAGTCTCTGTGGCTTCAAACTTAGTGTAGGAGAAGTTAAGGGTCAGCGGTGTTTGTTGAAATGTGTAGCCGATTTCAGTTCCATGAATTTGGCTACACATACCGCTGACCTCGTTCGAATGAACAAAGATGGCCACCGCCACGTGTTTGTTTGCACGAACTGCGGCCACCCAGCGGTCGGCAATTTACTCACAGCAGTCTCCCAGCCTGGGAGGTAAATTGCCTGCACACTTCCACTTCTGGGTGGTCCGCCTGTGTGGTACTTAGTTCAGTAAGCCCCATTTACTGAACCAAGTAGGAAAAGGGAACAAACAAAGTATTTTAGGGGAATTGTTCCACAAAGTATCAATATGTCCCCAGATGGTTCTTAAAGGGCCAGCAGCAACACAATAAAAATCCATCATGCCCAAATACTGTTCTTAAAAGGCCATACACCTCAGGTCCATAGTCATGGGGAAGGAGGCTGGCAAATAGGCTCCTCCATAATCCAGGGAAGCATGGAAATTTGTCATTTAAATAAACAGTTACAAAAGGCATTTTGTAACACTGTTTCCTTGGGCCCGAAATGGAGAGGTCCTTATACTGTTCTTTTGTCTACCCCAACAGCTGTAAAAGTGGTGGAAGTGACTCCTTGGATTCATCATTCTAGGGTTAAACCAGCAGCAGATTCCTGGCAAGTTACCTCAGATCCTGAGAATCCTTGTAAGATCCGGTTGAAGCGAACTACCCTGTCCCTGAAGTTTGATTAAAGGTATAAGACGATTTTAACCGTGGTTGAGAAAGATAACAGAGAGCAGCAAGTAGATGTTTTGATGGCCATAATAAAGCCTGACCACCTACCAACCTTTCATAGCCAGAGTGTCTCGCAGGGAACTCTGTGAAGGAAAGAGAGGATCAGACGAACAACATTCCTTGCAGCCCTCACAAGCGGGAAGCTGAGGTGCCGTCGCACAGTTGAAAATGTGGATGAAGACTTCCATTATAATGTATTTCTTTGTGTTTTTTTGTGTTTTTATTGGATATATGGAATGTAAAGGTGATGACATACCAGGCTGTGATAGTTGTATTAAGACTACAAAAACAGGTAACCAGATATCCCAAACTCTTATTTGGCACTCGCATTATGAATGTAAAGGATCTGGGTCTAGATGTAGATACTTAGACACTGATTATAGTGTGTGTCAGCCAGTGTCAGGTGAACCCAAGTGCTTTGATCCCTAATTCTAACACCGTACAATCTGGCTGGTTCTTCGAAATACCTACTCTCAGGGGGCATTGATAAATAAAACTTTGTTAAGTACCACTTGTTCCTTAGGCATCCTACTATTCGATGCATGCAAAGCAATTTCTGGTAGTGGAAAACCTTGGAACACATGTGGTAATCTTAAGTGGGAATAAACCTATGGGTTTAATGATAAATATCTATGCCCCAGTAGAAGATCTACTGACCCTGATTGTCCAAATAGGGACTTCAACTTTTGCCCATATTGGTCATGTGTAGGTTGGGCGACCTGGGGAAAAACAGTAGACCAAGAGGTATGGTTTGATCTATTGGCTACATCTAACTGGAGAGCCCCAGAAAATGTATACTGGATTTGTGGTATGAAGGCATATTTAGAATTACCACAAGATTGGGAGGGGGCATTGTCAGTATATTTCTATCGGCAGATATTTTGTGCTAAAATAGAAATTAAAAGTGTCTACTGCCAGTCACACTTAAAACAAAGCTGACTCCATTTTGCGATTTCAGGCAAAAAAAAAAAGACACAAAATTTCTGTCTAACTCCAGTCATTCAAGCATGAGCTAAAGAATGCGTTATGTAAACAAGACATGTGATAGGGAATGAAGTCTCACAGCAAGAAGGGGGATGGATTACTAAGTCCAGAGACAGGTATATGCATCAAGATATATACATCTATACATTATACACTTATTTTACTATTATATTCATTACATATAATCAGTATTATGTTAATAATATAAACCATTTATGGATAAATATTCATGAAGAAATATCATATTATTTAATAAATATTAGTGGAATAGAAAAATAATGTCTCACAGCTTCACAAGCCAGACACCACTGAAAGATAACCCGTAGTAATTAATTTTACTTTCTAATTCTTACAAGGTCCCATTGTAAGAAATAGGGTGAAATTAAGGTTAGGAGGTGTCAATTTTAGAAATACGATCGAAATTATAGACACAAAGTCTTGCTAAGAGAGAAAGAAACGCTTTGAATTGGCAGCAAATTTGAGTTATAGTTGCCATTTAGATAAGCCAAAATGACGTAAGAATCATCATCAAAATAAGTTAACCCTTTCCAGGACAAGAAATTTTGGTGATGTAATGGCGCCATCTATTGAACAAAAACTAGATGATACTAGAAAAACTAGACACTCCTACAGTTTCCTATTCGCCAGATCAACTAATGACGTACAGAAAGTTTGGCCCTTTAAAAAGTAAGAACAAAGGGGTGATGGGGGACTCAAGACAGAGCTTTAGGACACAGATTCAGGACACACTCTGGGACTAACACTCAACTCTCAAACCCTCTTGGACACAACTCAAGAAACACTTCCTGGACACTTTTACTTTCTAACCAACACCACTTTTCTATTACATAGAATGCTATACACATAATCATACTTGCATTCAATTCCTGGAACGGTTCTTTGAAAGTATCTGATGAGAACATCTATATAACTGGTAATTATGCTGGTTTTATTTAATTAATTTAAATTAATTAACATTTTTCTCATAGCAGGAATACATGCCTGGATAAATCTCGGTCAGATTTCAAATTAGAAATCTTAGTTAACTAAAGAATATATAGTTATAAACATTCCATTCTGCAGGTGGAATCAAGATAATTATATATTAATGATATATTTATCACGTGTTAGCATACCGCTGTTTTTATCCAGATGTATTGATTTGCTCTGAAATAAGGTAGTGTATCTATTAAGGAGAGTTAAAATTCGGCTAATGTAAAATCTGGTAGATGATTCTTATTGGATGGTTCTAGGAATGATTATGAACATTGTTTTAATTGAAAATTGCATGAGAATAGGATATTATATGCCTAGAAGGATTCTAGCAAGCATTGAAAGAGTTAATCAACCGAGGTTTTTATTGTTGCTTCTCGCTGCACTGTTGTATTCTGTGGAATTCTGTGTGAAGTTGGTTGCTAAGCTGTCATAAATCTTGCTAAGTTCTTGACAGTTGATACCCGTATGATGTCAGCCATTTACCAAAATAGGCTTGCTCTTGACTATTTATTAGCAGTAGAAGGTGGTGTGTGCGGAAAGTTTAATCTTAGTAATTGCTGTCTGCATATAGATGATGAAGGGCAAGCTGTGGTTGACCTTACCAGCCACATGGTTAAATTAACGCACGTAACTACTCTGGATATGGAACAAGTATAATCCAGGTAGTTGGTTTGGAAGCTGGTATGATCAGTTTGGAGGGATTAAAGCACTGGTAGGAGCAGTAGTATTTATTATTTTCTTATGCCTCTTACTACCCTGCTTGATTCCATTAATAGTTAGGTCTATACGTAGTGTTATTGAGAGTACTATAGAAAGGAAGACAGCAGCTCACGTAATGGCCATCTGGAGATATGAATCGCTAGCTCAAAGAAAAATCATTTGTAATCAGGTCGATGAGTAAGGAGAATTCATAAGATTCAACTAGAATGCTCACATGGTCTCCCCTGTTTTGTAATTACCTGAGTGTCATTGGCAAAGTATGGTAAGTGATGCATCTGGAGTACTTTGTATCAGAAGCATCAAAGGGGGAAATGTGATGGGATTTCAGGTAGGCCCAAAATTTAGTAGGCCTAAAATCTCCATGTGGCATATACAAGTACAGGTATCTGTTGTATCTGTTAGTTAGATCCCTCTGTCTTGGAACTGTGCCTATAACCCGCTGGGTTCATCTGTTTTTCGGTTAATTGCCTGTCCGTACCCCCCATTTGTTTATTTCCTAAACTTACGAACAAATTGCCGAACAGCCGGCCACCCAGCCTGGAAGTGTGCTGCTGGTTAACCTCTTGGTTCGTGAGATTGAAAACGATTGAAACGCTCTACCCTTAAAGATCTGCTGGAAAGCCAGTAACCGCAAGAAAAGGGATATCATCGCAGAGCTAGTCGAGATCGATGGACCTGAAGGAACCGAAAGAGCCAACATAGCCGAAATGCCCAGCATATTAGACAGAACCCCCGAAGAAGAAAGTTTTGACCGGGCGGATAAAATCAAGCTGGCACATTATGGTCCTAACCCGACCGTGGATATTATTGACTGGGTGATGGCAGCTGTGGAGGCAAGTTTACTACACCAAAGAGGTGCTGCAGCAGCCCAAGTTCCAGCAACCCCGGTAGAGAAGAAAAGGGTACATTTTGCTGCTTTTAAAAATTTTATTGAAGCAGATGGGGAAATTGATGGGTACCTTGCTGATTTTGAGTGGCAATGTGCTCTACACAGGGTACTCACAGAGGGCTGGGTAACTATTCTATCCAGAAAGCTGTCAGGTCGGGCCAGCGAAGCTTTCCGGGCCATCCCAGACGAGGATATTGCGAATTATCGTTTGGTAAAGGAAGCCCTGTTGACCAGGTATGCAGTCACACTGGAAGCATACCGGAGGCACTTCAGAGACACCAACAAGCTTCCAGGAGATTCTTATACCGAGTGGGCATGTCGTGTACACCGCACAGCATCCCACTGGGTCTCTGGATGCCAAGCTGTATCTGGGGAAGAGGTGCTGCAGCTGTTCTTACTGAAGCACTTCTTTGACAAGTTGTCCCCAGGAGTCATAGAGTGGGTCCGAGACCGAAAACCCTCCACCATGCCTGAAGCTGCCCGTCTGGCAGATGAGTACACCGATGCCCACAAAGTGGATAACGCTGTAACCAAAGCAACAGCTTGAGTGGAATATCGACCAGCGGCACCCCTTACAGCTCCCACCTACCAACCACTGGCGCACCGCTCTCCAGCACCACCTCCAGCGGCCCCTTATGCACAGCAGTCCAACGCCCAAGACTATTCCCAGCCCATCCGGTGTTATGGGTGTAAGACCCGGGTGCCCATTAAACCCAGCCAGACAGTCCTAATCGTGGAGACAGCCAGCCGGAGGAAATCCCTGCACACCCCTGCCTGCTGCACACTGCGTTGAGGACGAAGAATGTTGGGGTATACTCCATGAAACAGATTCTGTCCAAGCAGCCCACTGTGACAACAGGCAACAGCACAGACAAACAGGTAAGGTCAATGGCCAATGGCTTACATGATACTGGTGCTACCATGACCCTGCTGCAAAAGAACCTTGTGTCTGAGAGCCAACATACCGGGGACACCATGGCTGTAAGGGTAGCAGGGGGCACTGTCTTTCGCCTACCTGTTGCCCGTGTACATTTGGATTGGGGAGTGGGCTCCGGACATGTGAATGTGGGGGTGATGAAGGATTTACAGGCAGATGTCCTCTTGTTTCGGCCTATGCCCCGATGGGTCCCGCTGAAGCTAACCCAGTGACCACCCGTGCCCAGGCCCATGCTGCTGAAACCGGCCGACCTGCTGCTGAGACCCAGGTAAGACTATCTTCCCCGACCTGTACCCTAGAACAGGCCCCCTTAGGCTGGGATACTCCAGAGGCATTTGGGAGGGAAACCCGGGAGGATCCAACCTTGATCAAGTATAGAGCTAAGGCAGATAGTCAGGAAGAGGGGGTAGATGGGGAGCGCTACGAGTGGGTGGGGGACAGGCTGTATAGAATTCCTAAACCTTCCCAGAGAAGTAATGCCCCTTCCCAGAACCGACAGCTGGTTGTGCCTGCGAAATACCGGCAGGAGATTCTGAGAATAGGACATGATGTACCGCTAGCAGGACATCGAGGGTCCCATCGCACAGCACATAGGATCACCCAGAATTTCTTCTGGCCCAATTTTAATCAGGCTGTGCAACAGTATTGTAGTACGTGTGACACATGTCAACGGGTAGGTAAGCGGGGAGACCACCCTAAAGCTAGGCTTATGTCTATGCCTATTATTGGGGAACTGTTTTACCGTGTAGCCGTTGACATTGTGGGTCCACTGGTCAGGGCTAGTCCATCCAGA